TGCCCATCTGACTCTGTGGATTCAAATGTGTGCACTTCTTGTATACGTGATTTATACTGCTGCTGGGTCTGACCTGATAAAACTAGATTAGTTACCTTTATAGAAAAATCATAGATTGCTCATTCAGACATGGAGCTGACACATTAAGAGTTAACAGAAAGGAATAAATGTCTAAATTAATTTATTCCTTATTAGAAGTTTAAAGCTGCACCTGAACTTTCTACTTAACAGCACTACTACTGACTCTTTCAGCTTCAAAAATTAAATGCCTCACATGTGCTCGTTTCCTCTCTCTCCTCAGATCATCTTCTACGAGGACAGGAACTTCCTGGGTCGTTCCTATGAGGTCATGAACGACTGCCCTGACATGTCCTCCTACCTGAGCAGGTGCCACTCCTGCAGGGTTGAGAGAGGCTGCTTCATGGTGTACGACCGCACCAACTACATGGGCAACCAGTACTTCCTGAGGAGGGGTGAATATTCTGACTACATGAGCATGATGGGGATGAACGACTGCATCAGGTCCTGCCGTATGATCCCCATGGTAAGATTTTACGCCAGTCTTCATTTACCCTGGATGACATCATTAAAATACTCTGAGTTAAATCCATTTGTCTTCTGCCTCACAGTACAGGGGATCCTACAGGATGAGGATCTACGAGAGAGAGAACTTCGGTGGTCAGATGTATGAGCTGATGGACGACTGTGATAACATCATGGACCGTTACCGCATGTCCAACTGCATGTCCTGCAATGTGATGGATGGCCACTGGCTGATGTACGAGCAGCCCCACTACAGAGGCAGAATGATGTACATGAGGCCTGGAGAGTACAGGAGCTTCATGAACATGGGATTCAGCGGCATGAGGTTCATGAGCATGAGGCGCATCACTGACTCCTGCTACTAGGCTGTCTTTGCACTAAATAAAGCTGTCATGAACTGAACTACTGGTGTGTTTCATGGATTATTTTGAGTAGATTTTGAGTACTTATGTTCATTCAGAAGTTCTAACGTTTCAGTAATTCAGAAGAAGCAAGTCATTTGCTTTTTATTCTTATTTTCAAACCACATTCTTTCAAAAATCAACTACAAGTGAAATTTGTGCAACCTTTTAGCACAATGTTCACTTATATGTACCACAACTTCACTGTCACAAGTGAACCTCTTATAATCTTCTGTTCATATCTTTTTACATTAAAAGCCATAGACTGTGGGGCCCAAATTTAGCTCACTGGGATGAGCAGGTGAATATATGACAAATGGCTGAAATTGGCAGGCCCAGGTTCAAATATGACCATTGCCACATGTCTTCCTCTCTCTTTCCCTCTGCTTTCCTGTCACTCTTCACTGCATCTATCAAAAAAAAAAAAAAAAAATTAAAAGGCAAAACAAACCCCAAAAACCAAAAACATAGACTGTATATTAAAGATGGAAGTAGACATTTATTGTTTAGTTATATTCTGGTCTTGAGCCTAGCCTTTTCACAAGGGGGGATAAATAAGAGAAACCCTGGGACATTTCAGTTTGATACAACAGAGACCCAAAGCATAGTTTACTTTTTTGACCCCTCTACTCTAACTGGGACTCAAATTTAAAAAAAAATAAACATCATATTCTATTCATTAAGGCTTCAAGCTAGAGACTGAGAGCATGAGCACTTTGGAAAAGTGTTTATTGAGGGTAAGAACATTCATTTTCTGACTCTTCTGGTTGTAAACAGTCTTGTTTGTAACCAGAAGAGTCGCCCTCTGCTGGCCATTAGAAAGAATACAGATTTAACTTACAGGCTTATAGGTTACCGGTATGACATTTTTGATTTCTTCTAGAAGGATACTTTAGTTTTTTACAGTCTTTGTAGACTTCACCCTTTGTGAAGACTATCTTTCCACAGAACCAAAACACACACTGAGTACATACGCTTGTAAAGAGCAGTAAGTGTTTCTGAGCATGCTGTAAGAAGGAGGCCTTCATTTAGAGTCACTGTAAATTTCTGGGCCTGTAACTGTCTGTAAAGCCTTTTGTTTAATAGTGGAGAAATCATAATACACGATGCTGATCTGCAGCTTTGTTGTTTATAAAACAATAGTTGCAATTGTTGAAATAAAGGAAGTTTAGTCTCACTCTGAGTAGAACTAAAACAGTTGTGTCTAGAGTCTTCTATAGTAAACTTGGACAATGGCATATAAATACTTGCATAGCTGAAATTCTCTGATTATATTTACATTGTACCAGTTAGGTTTCAGCGTGAGTTGTTATTAGATCCAAATGTTATTGTCGGACCACCTAGGTTTGTTTCTGCAAGACTGTTTCCCTCAGTCCTGTTCTCATTAGAGCAAAAGAATAGAGCAGGCATACAGGTAAGCACCCTGAAAGCACAGTGTATATACAGCAGCTACATAATAACAATATGCACACGGTCTGTTTTTATTCTCTATTTGTTGTTCTGACATATTGATATATCTCAACAACCATGACATTTGGTGATGGCGTGCATGTTTTCTGAATTTTCACACGGCCTAACAGCAGTTGATTCTATCATTTCAGTACAAAGAAATTAATTACAAGACACCAAGATTCATCAGGTCCAGGCAACATTTTTCCAATTTTCTGTTGTCAAGTTTTGCTGTGGCCCATCGGCTTCAAAGTTTGATGTGTAGCACATTCAGAGATGCTCTTCTGCATATTGTGGTTGTAAAGCAGTCTAGTCTGTATTTTGTGGTCCCAGTAGATCACGAGTTTCTCAAATATTAAGACCATTTGGCACCAACAGCTACACCACTTTCATAGTCACTTAAATCTGTTGCTTGGTCATTTTAACTCTAGATGCCTAAATGTGTCTAGCTAATTAAATGTTTGTGTTAACAAACAGCGGATCAAAGTAGCTGGTGAGTGTATACTGTTACAATGGTGGATGCTCCTATTAAATATGGTCAAACCTTCAAATAATGAGGCCAGCATGTTGAAGAAATCTTTATGAGCCAAACGCTCAGGGTTCAGGCAGTTCTGAATAACACAGTTTATTTCTGCTCTTGTGATATCAGTATGAAGGGATGTCTTGTTTATTCGAATACTGAATAAACTAAGGGGGCACCAAGGCCTAATATAACATGGAGCTGGAAAACAAGTTAGCTGGTCCCTTTAAGTGATTCTTAAATTATTGTTTGACTTAAAGTCACCTTGAGATTTTTAATATTAATCTTCTTTTTTTTTAATTCATGGTTCTGTTCACGGAGCAGTTTTCACTTTTAACTCTGACACCGTTTTAATTTAGACGAGAGAGAAAACAATTTTTGACTGTTTTAATATTGATGTAATGTGCACATAACCTGCATACTACAGAAAAAATGTCACCCTCCATGATGCCCTATTATAGCCTCTGTTAAAAAACGTGTACGTGTACCATTACAGAACTCAAACTACGGTGCTTACAGACAGCCACAACGAGCCGTCAGTATGGCTGTAGACTCTTAATCCTGTGAAAGTGATGAGAAGTAATGTCTGTTGTATGAGGATGACATATTAAAATTTAGATTTTGGTTTGTTTTCGTTAATTGTCCTGCGTGGGTCCTCGTTTAAATTAGTGATATAAAAGTCTCAACAATAACGACAAAAGAAATATGCACAATTCACTGCCTGTCTCGTAATTTTTTTAGTTCCCATTCCTCCGAGGAGCATATTAGCAGTGCGTGTCTTTCTATCATTCTTTCTCACTCTTCTTTCTTTCCTTTCCACTCTTCCTCCAGAGAACAGCCAATCCAGTGAGCAAGCAGGGAATCGATGCCCTGATACAAGATTCAGCCTAATGAGGATCAGAAACATCTTAATAAAGACCCATAATCCACCACTTAATCCCTCATTACAGAATCATCTGCATTCTCTCGTCCTGCTCCGTACCGCCGCAGTGACAGCACATTCTGGTCCATTGTTCTGCTTCGCCTCATCTCTCACCCAGGGCTACGTCTCCCTTTGTCTCCCTTCGGTGTCAGTTATATTTGATCTGCTCTCATTAGACTTTCAGACGAGGGCCTGAAAATAGTGCTTTTGTGAGCACTTCTATGCTATCTCTTGTCTGAAATGGAAAATGAGACATATGCTTAATGAGGAGAGGATGGACTGGGACCTGCCGTCTGACAGCGAGATAGGAAGCGTATTGTGTGGAGGAAGTGCTGTGACCGATACTGTTAAAGGACACACTTTCTAGGCAACATCCGTGTCAGTAATTATGACTTCTGAGAATGTGAAAATTACTGTGAAGTGAGACAGATGGATTAACGTTTCATGCTGAGCCCTGGAGACACTCGGAGTCGAGGTTTTTACTTTTGTGCAGCATTAACAAAAAAGTTACTGGAGTTTTACATATACTTCGTGCTATGGAAAGCTGGTTTCACCTTAGAAATACACAAACGTATTGTGTACGTAACACAAAAATAAACAAAAGCATGTGAAACATAATATTATTATGATTGTATGACTAAATACAATGACAAAAAAAACTTAAGTAAAGATAAAGTTTCTAACAAAGGAATACCTGAAAGAGCTCTAAGTACTCTAACTTCTGCCCACAAAACCTGGAAAGAGTCATACTCATATTATCCATGTTAGATATCAGTGATAGCCTTTAGCATGGCCTGATCAATGCAGAAATAATAATACAGTAATCCTCTCTGTAAAGTGCATGGAGAGCAATGCTGTCTAAATGTGTAAAGACATAGCCACCCAAACATCCTCTACTTTTTATTGAGGTCCTCTGTTAACTCCTCAAATTGGACATTTTCACAGTCATCATGTTAGAATTTTTGAAACATTATAAACAATGGGTGGATCTGATTGAAAAATGGAGAACACTGCATATTCTTATGATAGTGACTTATTAGCATGCTCCACTTTATCCTCCTTTGTGACTCAAATGAAAACCCTAATTTACATAAATAACATCATATATATTAAATAAAAAGTCAAACCTATCAACTGAGACTGTGAACTCATGAGAAAAGCTTTTACTGTGATCATAGTTCAGTGGAGTCAAGGGTTTAACAAGAGACAACAAGAGACATTTCCCTCTGCTAGCCATTAGAATTAGAAGAAAAGTTATTAGAATTAATAATTTTTCTATAGAATTATTAGAAAAATAAATCATAATACTTTTGCTTTGGATTCATTTTTTAAATATGGCCTGGTTCTGCTGAAGGTTTCTTCCTGTGGGTGTTTTTCCTTCCCACTGTCACCAAAGCAGTTGCTCATAGGGGGTCATATGATTGTTGGGGTTTTCTCTGTTTTCCTTGTATTGTTGTAGGGTCTTTTTCATATAAAGTACCTTGTGATTTGGCACTGTATAAATAAAACTGAACTGAATTGAACCATCAATCATAAAAGGAAAGAGGGTGTCCGTTTCCAAAATCCAAACTGGTTTCACAGAAGGCTCTGCCTCCCAGTGAAGATCTCGATTGGGCTTGGTATGGTGCTATATTACACAAAAGCATTTCATTCGGATTGTCCACAACTCAGAATTAAAAAAGGAACAGAGCAAAGTGATCAAAGCACTAGATATCACCAGGACATACTGAATCACAGAGAGATACAAATATGCTGGGAAAAACCCAGAAGCCTATAAGATAATGTAATGGATAACACAACAATAAACCTGGAAAATAAATATTGGCTAACCAAGGAATATGAAAACTCAACCCCAAGGTAAATGACAAATAACAAAGAAGCTAACAACCCCATTCATCAGAGAGACAAGGAACAAAACTTAAAAACATTCTCATAATCTAAAAAGAAACATTACCCAAGGCTCCAAAAAACAGGGACCATCACAGTTTGTCCGGCTGGTCCAAATGGGAAAACTGTTTTTTATTCAAATCTCTCCGGACCCTGAGCTACAAATAAAGTTCAACATACCCAGGGTATCTTTCTGTTATATGAATTTACTTCTCTAAGTTAT